ACTTTGTTTGACTAGGTCTTTTAACCTGAACTGGATCATTCAATTGAAAAGATGTAGAACATATTTGCAATATATCTGCCAAAATATTTTTTTCTCAGTATTGAACCTCCAGGTTCTCCATGGGAAATCATGAAAAGATCTCATATTAATATAATGGGAAGATCATCTAATGTCGTAAATAGGGTGCTCTTTGTCAGACCAGAAAGTTTTATTTTTATCAGAACCAGAAATCTCTTTGAAAAATTGAAGTTGGTTGGTCCGCCCGTGTTTTGGTTGAATTTGAGAATGGGTTGTTTGGACTCGACAATTTCGGTGTAAAGGTCTTTGACTTCAAGCAGTAGCTCCGAAGCACTACCTTGTTTGGTGGCGGAGTTCAACAAGAAGTCAACGACGATGGAAGTTCTGAGTTTTATGGATGGAGGACACCAGATAAAATGGTGACAAGGGGTAGGTTATGTAAATCATTTCGGAAAAAATATAAAAAATTAGAATTAGAAGATGAAAAATCAAATAGGGATTGTCCACCTGTGTTTTGGATGAATTTAAGCATATCAAGAGCGTAATTTATACGGTGATTAAGACATAATTAGGTTTTAATTGTATTATTCTAATTAGTTTCCTTTTTAAAGTAGTGGGCCTAATTATACCATTGTAAATTGTGGACTAATGGATGTAGCCAATAATATGTACAGAATAAGGGGAAATTACTTAAAACCTACATTTAAATTTAAAGATTAATTTTTAGAAAGAAGGGAGAATATTTTAAATTTCATATATCAAGTGGTAATTAGGTTTCAATAATTATAATTAACATACCCACCCACGACATTCATTGCAAACCTTAAAAATATTTTCTCTCCCCACTCACTCTCGTCTCTTCTCACATACCAGATTGAGCCGACAACCATGATTTGCTTTCAGAATGGTAGTTCGACACCAATGTATTTTCCCAAAAGTTGGCCCCAATCGGAGTTGTTTGCCCTTTCACACTAGTACTACTATTAACACAATAATTTGGTGGTTTAATTGGTCTTTATATAGTAAGTGGGGCCTATGTTGCTCGGACTCGTGTGCGAGTGTCGGATACAGGTACATATCTAGGAGTCAGATCCTTCGCATTTTAAAATTAAGATACGGGGATACGGTTAAAAACGATCCGAATTTTGGATACGAATACGGGGGTACGTCTTACAAAATATTTTTAAA